TTATTATTATTATTATTATTATTATTATTATTATTATTATTATTATTATTATTATTATTATTATTATTATTATTATTATTATTATTATTATTATTATTATTATTATTTATTATTATTATTATTATTATTATTATTATTATTATTATTATTATTATTATTATTATTATCGTTATTATTATCACTATAGATACCATTAACATTATTACTGTTTCACTGAAAAATGGTTTGTAAGTGATAAATAATGAATGATTAAGAATATTTTTAGAGGTAAAATATAATTTAGTAGTGGATAGATATGGTTGGATAGCATATTAGTGTAGCACAACAATTACCACAACCTTTCATTGGTATATTATTATTAACTCAGTTCATGTTTTTACTCTTCAAGGTCTTTTTTTTTTCTTGTCAACTGTCAACCTTCATGCCATCACATCCTCCTCTCTCCCTCATTTTAACTCATATCCGCGATATTTCCTTCTTATTACTTATAGGAAGGAATTATTTAAATAACTCCTCATAAATATTGTTCATTTCCATATCAGTCAAATATTTCCCTACTCTCCATTCTCTCACCTAAAATTCAAACAAAATATTTATGGAAAAAATTCATTTATAATGGGAAATAATTGCTATAACAAAAATTTCAGCAAAAAAATAATAATAATAATAATAGTTGTAAAAGTAGAGAAAAAAAAAGACATAAGAAAGAAACGAAAAATTACTTAAAGAGAGAGAAAGGAGAAAAAGTTCAAAAGAAAAAAAAGGTAGAACAAAATCGAAAAATAAAACATTAAAAAGGTATATATTCAGTTTCCGGAAAGCATCTATTTTCGAAAAATGAAAATTATATACTAAACGGTGGGAAGATTGAAAAGTGCTCAACAAATTTATTATCTTTTTAACAATCTTTCTTCTTTGTCATCTTCAATTCGAAAAACGAAAAGTAATCAGCTCAAATCAATTGGTCGCCTTTTAGCGCTTTTAGCGCATTTCAATAACAATAATAGCAATAACAAGAAAAAGAACAACAACAACAATGATGATAACAGCAACAACAATAACAACAACAACAACAACAACAACAACAACAACAACAACAGCAACAACAATTATTATTATTATTGTTATTATTATTATTAATGCAATTGAATAATTTTTCTCTCATCAATAATATCTTTTGTTGTTTTTTTTTTCAGTTATAACAATGAAAACAAAGATCAATAATAGAAATTAAATGCTTAAAATGTTTCCTATTAAATATCCAGAATTTTACTCCGACATATTTGGGGAAAGTGGGAAAGGATAAAATTTTTGATAAATTTGTTAGGATGTCTTCAGTAAGAACTATTGTTCGAATAATTCAAACTGTTAGGTTTGTTGTCATTATCATTATCATTTTCATTATCATTGTCATTGTCATTATGATTATTATTGTCATTATCATTGTCATTATCATTATCATTATCATTTCCATTATTATTATGCCAAATATATTTTAGAAATGTTATATGTCGACGACGATTTGCATAAATAAAAATATTAAAGAATTAATATAAAACATGAAATTACTAAAATTAGGTATGCAATATTTCCAGAGAATAATCTAGAAATGTATGTAAGTACATGTGTGTATGTGTGTCTGTCTGTGTATGTGTGTATGTGTTTGTGTTTGTGTGTGTGTGTGCATGTATGTATGTCTGTATGTATATGTGCATGTACGTATATGTATGTATGTGTCCTGTGTGTATATATATATATATATGTTCGGAATTGAAAAAATTTTGACAGAATTAATAAATTAATAAAAAAGAGGTATGAAACAAAAATTTTCAAATACTTAAATGTAAAATTTGAATAATTCCACCAAAATCAACTTTAAGGCAGTTTTTGAAAATTTAACAAAAAAATTAGAAAAAATTTTACGCAACAATGAAATGTCATCAAAAATATTATTTTCAGTTTTCAATTACGGTAAATGCATAATTACAGTAAATATTTATTTAGAAAAATTTTCACCTATTTTCCATCTTTTCTAAATGTACCATACAATGTATAAGAGTGGAAAAAAAAGGGTTTTCGTTCTTTTTTTTTTCATGATTTATTTACTTTAAAATTCATTCAATTATTTACTTAAATTTACCAAAAAACTTTTCAAACTATTAAAAATCAAAAAGTTGGAAAAAAATTTAAAAAATTGAATAAAAAAAGTTAAACAACAATTAGCAATAACGGTATTTAAATGATAGAATTTGCATAGAATTTGAATTTGAATTAAATGATAGAATTTGCAACAGAAATCAATTTTATTGAAAAAAAAAGGAAATTATTAATTTTTAAAATCATCTTATCTTCATTAATTTATAACTTATTCTTATAGAGTTATTACTATTATTAATTTGTACTTCAATAATTCACCTCTCTCCCTCATTTTTTTACATTTATTTCCATCCTCTCATCTTTCACCTTTCATCTTTCACCTTTCACCTTTCATCTTACACCTTTTGCCTTTCACCTCTCACCTGTCCCATTTAACCCATAATTAATCATCATACAATTTGTTTAGATATTCCATATGTAAACGGAATAATGTATATTTGTAAGTGAAATGATATGCATCAAGTATATCTTTTGAATGCATTTTGGATGTCCCCTTGTCACCCCTTCTCTTCCTCTTCCCTCCCTCTATAATTGGATTTTAATAATACCACACCTATTTGAGCGCTATAATGAATCTTTCCGCTCATCGATGCATGTATGTGTGTGTGTGTGTGTGTGTGTGTGCATGTATGTATGTGTATGTGAGTTGATGTACGTAAACGTACGTGAATGTATGTGAGTGTTGGAGGAGTTAGTAGTACACCCCCACATTTAATGAAGGTTTCGAGAGAGCTCCACCCTGAAATGAACAAAATAGCCAATGAGAGAGATTGTAATGGCTGTTTAGTCCCAAAATGATAGCAATCAAAGTGATTCGTTGCCCTATTAGATGTGTGGCACTTCTTGTCCCACCCCAAAATGTCCCCTGTCATTCCCATTACGGTGACTCGATCAACTTCTCTTCTAACTAACTCTCTCTCTTTATTCATGCTGTTGTTGTTATTGCTATTGCTGTTAAAAGTATATCTCATATCTTATCCGGCATTTAATTACCTGATCCGGATTTTGTTTACATTTATATCCGTAAATGTCTTATCCGGCATTTAATTACCTGATCCGGATTTTGTTTACATTTATATCCGTAAATGCTATTTAAGTGTTGTTCAGATTCTTATTTAAATATTTCTTTAATGAATTAAAAACCTTTTATTGTATTTGTAAATTATTTCTTAAAATGATAAAATTTACTAATTAAGAATTTTCTAAAGTTTATTTGTTAATTAATTGATTACAATGCTAGTGTATAGAAAAATAGGAAAGCATAGATAAATAAGAAAGTAGTAAAAGAAGGAAATTTAGATTGAAATATCAAAATACTTTTCGTCCAATTAATTTAATCATTTCAAATTTTCCTTTAATTTTTACTTTCACCAATACTGAAATTTTAAACATGTAATATAATGAAATATGCAATTGTTTGCATTCGAAATGAATTAATGATAATGCAATTTGATATAATTAATTGCTTAACTTACATATCATTTCATTTGTATTAATCTGTATTGAATAAGCAAATATCAAATAATATAATAGAATTTGAACAGCAATTGAATAATTTGGTGGCTCAATTCAGTAATTCAATAACTTAGTTTAATTTAGCACTTCAGTAATTTGTTGGGTATAGTTTAGTAATTCAGTAATTTGATAGTTTTAAATTTGTAATTCCTTAATTTGGTAAGTTTCGGTATAGCGATTCAATTATTTAGTTGGTTTAATTTAGCAATTCAGTTATTTAGTAAATTTAATTTGATAATTTGGTAATTTGATGAGCATAATTAAAATGATTATAAGTTTTTGCATTATAATATGATTGATGCGAAGGAAAAAAACTTATCTCAAGCAAGTTTTATCATAAAATCAGTAAATTTTCGATTGCAAAGGAACTAACAATTTTCATTTCAAATAATTTTTTCAATCACTAAAATAAGAAGAAATAATAAGAAAAGCACTTTTCTAAATTAATTCCTAAATAATAAATGCTATCATTCTAAATTAACCATTTATTTTCCCTTTCTTTTTTTTTTAGGAAATTCTTAAATTGACCATCCTTAAATTAACCTTTTTTTTGAGACTTTCTTTTTTAAGTAAATTCTTAGATTAACCATCACTTTCTTTTTTTTTCTTTTGAATCAATAAACCACCTTTAATTAAAAATTAAAACAAAATTATTTTAATTTAAAATGTTTAAAGCTTAAATAAATTTCTAAATCAGACAAATAATTTAGAAATATTTGAATGCGAAAAAGAAAGAAAATTAATAAAATAATACATTATATAAAATATTTTAGCTAACAAATAATAATAATTCATGTTTCAATTAATTATTTGTTGAATAAATTTGAATATAATTTATTTCGCTTACTTTTGCAAGCAAATAATTATTTGTATAAATAAAACAAAAAATCATTTGCTATGTGAATATAATTGAATTTTAAATTGATTTAAAATTGAGAAATAAAAAAGTAAATTAAACAATCGATAATTGTGAAATTTAAAGAAAAAAATAAAATTTTTGAATAGCTTAATTATAAATGTTTATCTAAGATTAAGATTGATGTGATATTTTGGTTAATAATTCTTCACTGAGAATAGTTTGTTACGGATAATAAATGAAAAATAATATGTGGAGTGTAAAATGAACGCAATTTTCGATGTGTGATATATACCAGAGAGCGGGGGGGAAAAATAAAGGATGGATGAGGAAAATAGATATATTAAGAGAAATGACATCGCGGGAGAATGAGGAAGGAAAGAAAAATAGAGCAAAAAGCATACAATTAAACTTGTTATTAAATTATTGGTTAATTTGCTATTTTATAAAAAGAAAAATATGCTGCAAAAATTACTTTCAAAAATGTCAACCATAGCATAATAGTTGTCACCTACGTTGAAACTATGCATCATTTGACAATTTCTCATCCTATTTATCATTACCTTGTCCTATATATTTTATATATTATATATATATATATATATATACAGTGTGTAGTATATGTAGAAATTTTATCTATTAATTAATTTTTTCAATTAATTTACCAAGTAATTTCCTTAATTGATTTAAATTTTAAATTATTTTTGTAAAATGGAAAAATAAAAATATTAAGTAATTGATTATTAAATTATTTTCTCTAGTAAAAATGTTTTAGTTGAAAAAAAAATAAAATCGGGCAAATTTCATATTTAACAAAATTAATTTCTATTAATAAGTAAAATACATATAAAATACTGATTAAATTGTCAATATAGGCTGTTAAATTCTGATAAATTTGTATAAAACCAGAATGGAAATATTATTGAAGTTAAGTTATCCGAATTTTCTATTCTCTAGCTAAGGTAAATACATTGAACCGATTAGTTTAAAGATATAGGAGGAATAGATTATAAAATCATTAACTTGTTTATTAAATCATTCTAATCAATTCATTTGTTTTTCCAACTTCCGGTTGATCAAATGCTACCGTATCCGGTATTTAATATTATTGCCATCCCAAAAAAAAAAAGAAAAAAAAGGCATACTATGAATAAAATAATTTTATTATTTCGATGACTTTAGAAGTGATAATTTTCCATTTATTTCAATTTTTCATCACTTTTTCCAATTTTTACTCTAATAAAACAAAAAAAAACTTTCAAAATTAATTATTATTTGTCATTTCACATGAATTAATTACAGTTCTTACTTATCATTTTATTAATCAATAATAACATAAGCTAATTGCAAGTCTAATTGCGATAATTTGGTAAAATGTATCATTAAAAATTCATTAATTAGTAATATAGAATAGTTTAATTTTGTTTATTATAGAAGGTAATGAATCTATTGGATCCACGACAATTAATGATGAATCCGTTTGCGTATAGTGTAATGGATCCGGCAACGATAGCATTACTGAATACAACATCCGGTACACAAAATAGTAGTGCTGGAAAAATTGTCACGACATCGAGTAATTTGCATGGCAATAATAATTCGGGTAATAGTAGCTTCCGAATTTCGGATATTCTTGATTCAAATGATGATAAAGCGAATACAAGCGGTGAAAATGGTTGGTTAATTTGAAAAAAAAATTCCTTTTTTTAAAAATATCTCTTGAACAGTTGAAATTTTAAATTTTCCAATTAAAAAATCCTAATTAATTAATATTTTAAATAATTTACTATGTAATGATTCTTTTATTTTTTGGTACGATTTGTTTAGCTTTAATTTAACAATTCTAATTTTCCATTGAAAAAAAATTTAGTAATTAAAAACTTAATGTTTTCAATTTTGTATTTTTTTTTGATTAATTTATCACAAATATTCTGTTTGAAATTTTTTCAAAATTTATATATCAAAATTTCATTTCACAGCAAAAAATTGACAAAAAAAAGTTCGAATTTAAAAGAGTACAATTACTAAATCACGACAATTTATTTCAAATTCAACAACAAACGAAAATATTTATTTCAATTTGCTGAAAAAAATTTAACTTAAAAATTTTAATTTTAAAATTTCAAATATTTTTTCACATTTCTTTGCTACCGTAATCCTTATTTTTGCTGAAAAAAATCAATAATTTGCATCAAGTAAACAAAATATTTCCCTTATTATTTCCCTATAAGTCGATATAATCAATAAGAATGTTAAGCTTACCAAATATAATCAGGTAATAATTTTAATTCGTTTAACTAACACCTGTCCAATCCTATCATTATTATCTCCAATCTCACGAGTATACTATAAAATTATTAATTTGATCTCATCTATTTCAATGCAGTTTTTCCAGCAATAAACTTTAATAAGCAAATTTGTTTATTTATAAAATAATATTAACAACAAAAAGAAAAAGAAAGGAAATTAATGAAAATGATAATTTTTCGTTTTTTTTTTTTTTATTAAAGCATTAATAATCCAAAATTAAATAATTAAAGCAATGAAATAGCAATTGTTTATTGTTTGTTTCGATTTTCGTTTTTTCCTTATCTCAACCTAATTGTAACCGTAATTTAGTGGTATTGAAGCGGAAAATACCTT